TTCCTTCTCAGAAAGTACAAACTGCTTGCGCAAGCACCTGTCGTCAGCACATTGTACTAAGGAAGTACACAAGAAAGAATAACATTAAAAATAAAAGTAAAGGACCCTTTTCACGCCTTTATGCGTATAGGGCATATAGGGCTAGACCTATATTTTTATAGACCAGTCGGCACAAGATGGGTGATGTGGTCGGCATCACGCTGGCCGCCTTTACTTTCCCGGGACTGCACCCGGTACCCACTCAAGGCTGGGTCGACCTGGGAGTCAAGGTCATTTTTGAAAAAAGTCCGGCTCCGCCAGGTAGCGAACCCACGACCTTCCGATCCTCGGCGAGCGTCTAGCCGCTCGGCCACGGTGACTTTCAAAGAATAACATGCTAAACTAAATTTGTTTAAAGGCATATTTGTATATTCGTGATAGCTGTTTAGATGAGTAACTCTGCGTCCTTCTTTTCTGATTTTATGTTGAAAGCTCTTGTTTTAAATGCAAAAAGCTGTCATTAAGCCACCATTGTTAGTGTTTTAAATATCTTCCTAAATGTTAAGAACTAATTTGGCTATTTTCCACATAAAATATTACATTTTCAATCAATATCCGTGAAAATATGTTGATTTTAGCACCCACAATTATTTTTCCTTTAATATTTAACTAGGATGTACATACAGAAAGTATTGTTTCCAGCAGATATCATCAAATTCAATTTGGGGGTTTGACCTGTCTTTAATATAATATTTATTTTACAGCAGAAAATCTGGGAAGAAGCCGAGAAAGAGGTGGATAAATAGTGCAGCTGAAACCTGCAAAAAGATGAACAAATCCATCCTCCAAGTCACTGGAGAAGCGCAAAATAAATACAGAAAACCTCGACACAGGGCTACAACCTGGGATCAGTGAGACTACTAGGGAAGAATACTTACTGCCCGGTTAAAGTTTTGTTAGGCTCTAAACTACATGCATTTTGAGGTTCCCATTGAAAAATATAAATTATTTTCACAGGAACACACTGGACTGTCCCAGAAGTGTTAACATTTAGCAGCAGCACTATCAGATGGCTCTTCTAACAGAGTCTGATTGACAGTATGATGCCATGTTGCTGCAGAAAAGCAACGCTCCTCTTCTTGTCAGCTGTCAACGCTAAAAACTGAAGTAAATTCATTGCATACTAGAAGTCCCAAAACGCCAAACTATACGCAATCGCTCAAAACAGCGAGTGGAACAAAGCGTGTACCAGTCCGTCCGCTGAAATTTACATAGCAGAACACAACTTGACTCCCCTGTAACTTAGACTAACGCGTCTCAAATGTTAAGAAGCACTAATGAAAGCCCAGTCACGGTTCCTCTGGTCCCGACTTTGTTACCTGAGCCCGTCTTCGTGTAAAACAGTACAGGATAAAATATGTTGTGCGTTAAAGCAGCTGAGCTTGCGAGCAAACGAGCGTAAACCGTCACTAAAACAACTGGGCCAAGCTGCTGAAAGAGCTTTGAGCTGGCTCTGGACACAACAGAACATCGTGGGGGACAGGCCTTGGTAGACTGGTCCTAATCCCTAGGGGAAAAGAACTTCTTATTCCTTAAAAAGCTAAAGTGTTCGATAAATGTCTGTCGGTGTCTCTCTGCCAAATGCCAAAGTCTAACAAGTGTCTGATGAATCAACCATAAGCGTGTCATTCTGGTCGTAAAGGTAGTCAATTGATCTAATTTGCTACTGCAGCAACAATATAACATCAAATATAACAGTAGCTGTCGCAAAGTCACCATATCGTCTTGTCCCTGTCGAGTCCGATAAAGTTCAACATGGAAAGATCGAGGCCTTGAGTCATGACTCAGGTCGAGCTCAAAGATTGTAAAGGAAGTAATGGGCCGAAACAATCGCGTCGACGAAAGATTAGTTCACTGACGACGGTGGACATGCTTCCTTTATCGAGTTTTCACATTCGATTTCGTCGATACATATATAGTTCAAGATATATATGTATATGGTTTTTTTTCGCACTGTCATTTCCGGTTTTGTATTTTCGACATTGTTGCAAAGAATTGTCCCATGCAATTCGACCCATCTTGTGCCGGTTGGTCTATAAAAATATAGGTCTAACCCTATATTCCCTTTACGCCTAAAGGCATGGTAAAGATACCTGTACTTATATATATATATATATATATATATATATATATATATATATATATATATATATATATATATATATATATATATAATGGAAAATCTAAAACTGCAAACATAAGTTCATTGTCAATCAAAAATAGTTCTCTGATTTGAGTATTTCATTAGAGAATTTTATGTTGTGCACAAGTTTAGATGCTAGTATAAACTGCAAGAATGCACATTAAGTCATACAGTTACAACTGCACTAAATAGGGCAACACATCGTTTGTGACCGTGTTATTTACATTCTGTCAGTGCTGTTATATCTTTTGTTCATTAGATGATGACGACGGTAGTGGTGATGACGATAATGATGAAGTTGTGAAGATGATGATAATGATGATGATGATAATTATGATGATAATGACAATGATGATGATGACGTTGACGATGATGATTATAATGATGACATCGACGATTAAGAAGAAGATGGCACAGGAACAAGGAGGGGGAGGAGGAGGAAAAATAAGAAGAAGAAGAAGAAGAAGAAGAAGAAGAAGAAGAAGAAGAAGAAGAAGAAGAAGAAGAAGAAGAAGAAGAGGAGGAGGAGGAGGAGGAAGAGGAGGAGGAAGAGGAAGAGGAAGAGGAAGAGGAAGAGAAGAAGAAGGAAGAAGGAAGAAGGAAGAAGAAGGAAGAAGAAGGAAGAAGAAGGAAGAAGAAGGAAGAAGAAGGAAGAAGAATAAGAAGAAGAAGGAAGAAGAAGGAAGAAGAAGGAAAAAGAAGGAAGAAGAAGAAGGAAGAAGAAGGAAGAAGAAGAAGAAGAAGAAGAAGAAGAAGAAGAAGAAGAAGAAGAAGAAGAAGAAGAAGAAGGAAGAGATTGAGTAGTCCGGATAAAACGTATGTAGCTTATTTTACTCACATTTACAGCAGTGTTTGCTAACATAGGGCTCCATGGCATGGCAGTTGACGCTGTTGACTTTACAAAGGTTGTGGTACCTAGGTGTCACATAGAAGAATCAGGTATCGTCTTTAACTGTGCTACCTCAGTGTCACAGAAAAACCAGCTATAGCCTTTAAGTTTAACTGTGCTCGGTGTCACATAGAAGAACTAGGTATAGCCTTTAAGTTTAACTGTGCTACCTCAGTGTCACATAGAAGAACCTTGTATAGCCATTAAGTTTAACTGTGCTACCTCAGTGTCATATAGAAGAACCTTGTATAGCCTTTAAGTTTAACTGTGCTACCTCAGTGTCATATAGAAGAACCGTGTATAGCCTTGAAGTTTAAATGTGCTACCTCAGTGTCACATAGAAGAACCTTGTATAGCCATTAAGTTTAACTGTGCTACCTCAGTGTCATATAGAAGAACCTTGTATAGCCTTTAAGTTTAACTGTGCTACCTCAGTGTCACATAGAAGAACCGTGTATAGCCTTTAAGTTTAACTGTGCTACCTCAGTGTCACAAAGAAGAACCAGGTATAGCTTTTAAGTTTAACTGTGCTACCTCGGTGTCACACAGAAGAACCAGGGATAACGTTGTACATCTCGTGTCTGGTCGTGCCGATGTTTACTGAAAGTAATTGCGATGTAGACGCATTTATTTATTTATTTATTTATTTATTTATTTATTTAAATTTGACATTCTAGAAAGAAGACCATGCAACGTTTGAAACAAAGAAGAAACGTTGAGCCAGGCCAATGCAAATAAAAAAAAAATAAAAAGTCGCTCCCCCCCCCCCCCCCCCCCCTTTTTCCGCTTTCACCGCCGTAGGCGCCAAATGCCAGAGGTACGCCCCTGCCTCTGAAATAAACACATTATACTATTTCAGCGGTTCTCAACTTTTGGGTCGTGACGCTTATTTTGGGAGTCGAACGACCCTTTCACAGGGGTCGCCTAAGACCATCACAAAACACAAATTCTTTAAAGTTTAAAAGTAGTAACAAAAATAATTTATGTGTGTGTGGTGTTGCGTGTGGTTGGGTCCTCCCGTGTGCGGATTTTGTGGAGACAAGGCGTGAAGGGCCCAACTCTACAACCGTGTGGTCTCACATTGAAGGGAACACCTAGCCTCGACTCGGCGTCAGTCCACTACCTACTCCTGTCTTCTTTCACTGGTGACCCTACACCTCCTCGCGTCGTCAACCAAGACAGATTCTCCTCCTTGGTTACGTGCCCTCACTTCGGGTCACTATAACCGATACATGATAACTGATCAGAGACTCGGCCCCAGGCAACAAGTCTCTCGACACCCAGTCACAAAAGAATCATCATGTGGCGCTACACAATTGCCGTCTTCGCAACTGCGCCACAATTCAGACTTCTGTCGATCCTAGTGGCAAATAACATGTTGGGCCCTCCACGCCTTGTCTCTACAAAATCCGCACACGGGAGCATTAAACTCATACACCAAAGTTCAAATGCACATAATAACTTTCATTAAACTGACACGATACACATAATTACTGCTAAAAGTAACAGACAACTAAACATGCGTCTGCACGTTCGGACTGGTTGAGATGAACTGAAATTAACACCCACGACCAACCCTTAGCTCATCGCTTCAGACCTTGCATGGTTCTCGCTTAGCGCGTGAAAACCACTGTTGGTCGTGATTCTCTAGAAACACTTCTTTCATCACTTCGTGCTCCTCGAGTACCTTTGCACTCGTTTCTCATCTCAAGCCACATAGACCACTTTTGCACACGTCTCTCTTACCATCATCATCCGTGCTTCTTCGACCGGCGTAGGCTATGACGCCTCTGACCAACCCAGTGAATTTAGCACACAACAGCACAACATGAAGAACACGGCACTCCTCTGAATAACGACCCCAAATTACCTAGCTCAAAGCCCTACCCTTACAGGACCTCAAAAAGTCATATATTATAAGTAAAAAGA